GGGGGGGGGGGAGATAGAGAAAGACAGAGAGAATGTCTCGCTTGCATGGGGGCGTTACATTTATACGCGATGGGGGACGTTCCTGACATTGATCGTTGTTGCTATCACGTTATTACCATGCTTGCGATTACGATTACGGGTGCGTGGTATTAAGTTTCGTGGTAAGATAAGATGGAATTTTTACCTTGAATTACCTTGAACGGTCATTCGTGCGAACCCCAGGAGACTTCGATGCCTTCGGCTATTGTTGCCCGTTCGGTCTAGATAAGTCATTACGTCGACGCTGTCCTTCGAATGTAGAAACCCCCGTTAAACGGCGATAATTATTGAGACTGTGGTGGACAAAAGGCAAAAAGGACTTCCAAGAAAATTGAAAATGATTACGTCAGATAAAATATTTAGTCAAGTTTTTTTCTTTTTATATAGCATCAGTTATCCTAAAACAACATCTTTCGGAGTTTCTTCAGCCACCTGGCTCGACCGTGCATACAAATATTGTTTTAACGATATAAACAACGTCAAAAACGCGCTCATTACTTATATCGCTTAGGTCGTTATTGATGTCATTGCATGGCAACGCGATTGCTCCGCGTCAATTATTAGCCATTGATCGTGCATTCACGTGATCGTTTAAAATTATGACGAGTCTATAGTCGTCGATTTTGTCGTTTGTATATTCCGACCGTATATATAAGCTGCGTGTTGCGCCATAATTGTTAGTAACCCTAGAAAATGAGGGAAGGGACCCCTTCCTCGAAGCAGGCTTTGTTTTCCTACCTAGAAGGGCGTAACCGGCTAATCGCGTCCGAATGGGAAACCCTCCTCGAGGAAGAATCCGTTTTATCCTCTACATTACGTGCCTGAGACTGACACGGCTTTCTTCCGTTGCGCTAACCCGTAATTTATGTGCATTCGATTTTGATTTCGATTTGGGGCATTTAATCGCGCAAATGGGAGCATTGTAAGCTCCGTGTTCGACATTTCCTTGATTAATTGTCCGAATCGACGCCGCGAATCTATATTTCGTACTGCTGAAGAAATATGTAAGAAATGGGTGATATATTAAGGTATATGCTGGAATCACATTGAAATCATATTGAGCTCAACAGACGATAGCAAATTATCTTATTTACATGCGTCGCCATGCATTGCATATATGTGTGATTTATAATTATTATTCAGAATACAGAATATAGCATCTGAAAAAATATGGAATCTAGAACATAGAATCATTATTTGAAACCTTCGGTTTGGCCTCCTTAATACATTCTGCGTGTATGTGTTTGTGTACGTATGCCCACGTATAATTGCAACATGCGCTACATTGAATAAAATTAATATAAATATAGCGTAACGAAAATTTTTCAAACTCGATCGTAGTGGCAAAGTTAGAGCCGAAAATTATTATCTCGAATTATAAATGGTTATTGCTCACAGTATTAAATTTCTTATTTAAACAAAATAAATCCTTTTTAATTCGATATCTATATAATACTGACTGGACTTGTTTTTCACGACTGATTAAACTCTCGACATTAGACATTAAGACATTTTTATTTGCTGTCCGTCAGCCTGCGGCAATTCATTAATCGTTCGACAAATGAAGCTAGACAGAACTGAAATTGTGGGTCGACGGTGAGTGTCCTAATCGGCCCTTCAAATGCACGGGCGAGAATTGAATGTAACGAGCGCTCTCTCGATCGAGGCCGGCTTAAATGCAGGTCTGATTTAAGTTTAACCACGGAGCCCTTACGGTCGATTGACCGACCGCGCGCGCGGCCAACCTCGGCTTAACCTTTAAATCACGTTGGCGGCAAGCTCTCGCTTCCATCGGAAATTGCACGCGTCACCGTGCATCCTTGTGGGATAAATATCGCATGTGAGAGAGAGAGGGAGCGAGAGAGCGACAGACAAAGAGGGAGAGAGAAGTCCGGTGAGAGATTGGTGACCGCGAATTGGCCGCGAGCCTGGTAGAAGCTGCGTTTCACACGGAACCGTATATACAGCAACTTCCTTAACACGCTAAACACCGCACAAACTTCTTGATCTTAATTTCAAACGACCTTCGATTAACTGGATCCAACTAATCTTTATTAATTGAATTTAATTAACTTCGCGAAAGTCCGTCGAAACGTCGAAAGATCGCACGCCCGATATACATGCAATTTGCACTCGTTACCTTTTTTTTTTAATTGACTTTCTGTACGCTTTTAACTTCTAATTTTGAATTTTTATTTCATGAGAGTTATACATATACGTTCATACACACAGATATGCTGATAATTTTGATAGTTTTCACGTACGAGATTTTGTATTACTGATGTGTTTAGTCATGTAGGATTATGCGCTACTTGCTATATGGAGCACCATCGTTATTTCTCCCGCGAAGAGGCATCCCTTCCTCTTAAGCTTTTCACCGCGTTTGAAGTTATACGTACAATCGGGAATGCCAGTCGTTGGTGCAAAATTTTTGTTATAATCGTGCGACAATATTTGTATACGTTGCTCGTGTTATACGAGTGCTCCTCCATACACACATATTAGATCTCTTTTTTTTCTCTTTTCGATATGAGCTTTATTTTTTCCCCGTGAACGCGTGCATGATCGTTTTGGCGAGCC